CACTAGGGAGAATTCTATTATGATTTGTATGCCTAAACGCAACACTTTTGGCAAGTAAGTGGTGTTTTTGACACTTACGCACAAATGGCGTTTCTGTTACCCTTGCACTATGCATGTGTGTATATGTTCAGTCTGAGCATGTTCAGTAGGGGCATGTGTAGATGAAACGGGGGCCCTAAACTGAAGCAGTGGGTTTTGAAAAACACCGCTTCAACTTAGGACTGATTAAACCACTGTGTAATGCAAGCAGCCTGCTGACTTACCTGCCTCTCCAGCAGCAGGGAGGGGAGGGTGAGCTGCCGGCAGGCGGACTGGTACCTGAGCTGCAAGGAGGCTGGTGCTTCCCCCCGCAGCAGCAGTACCACCCGCCCCCCCCGGTGGCACCCACTTGCTGGCATCCAGCTCGGGTAGTCCTGGGGGGCACTACAGCTGAGGAGAGAAGCACTGGGCCCCTGTACAGCTCAGGCAGCCAGGCAGGCTCCAGGGGGGGGAAAAAATCAGGCTTCCCACTTTTCTTGGGTGGAGCCTGTTTTCCTGGACTGCTGCCAGGCTGCACGTAGGGCTTCCTGCAGAGCCACAGAGATGCATGGAGCCCAGTGCTTGGCTCCACAGCTGTAGGCACAGCAAACTAAAACTCCTCAGAGGAGTTTTAGTTTCCTGTGTCCCAAGTCATTTAAGGTGCATTACATCCTCAAATTTCCTACAGTGGCTGGAACTGATGCGCAATACGTCACTGAAGCATGCAAATACTGACACCATTAAAGCAATGCAAAAGTATTTAGCCCACTTTAAAGTGTCGTGCACACACCCCCCCATTTCATCTACACATAGCCTAGGTTACACACAAACTAAGCAGCAACACAAGTATATATATGTGCTCATTACAGATGCACAGATATTTGTAAGTCATGAAAATGTAGCCAGGAAAAAATCTATGACTAATGAATGTGCTCCTTCTTGTGTTTAGCCCTAGCTGAATAGTTAAAGCTATTCAGTAAGGGATTGAGGGGGGATGAAACAAGTTTCTCTCTCATCTAAGCATATTGCACAGATTAAGGTTGATTAGGGCTGTGCAAAGCTTCAGATCGTGATTTGGATTTGGAGATGATTCAGCCAATTTGGAGGCTGAATCTATGAATCCAAACCAAATCACTAGAAGCTTTAGGTTTTCCAAATTGATTCAGAGTTTCCAAATCAATTCAGATTTGGCGATTCGGAGATTCGGCCATAGGGTATAATGGGGAATCAATGAAATATCTATAACTTTGTTGTTTTTTGGTGGATTCAGATGAAACTTGCAGAAATGGTAGCCACTACTAAGGGCATGACGTCTGCCAAGCTTCAAGATGATAGGTGCAGGGTTTCTGAGAAACTGCACCTCAAATCCTGAAAGCAAAACTCATGTCACATATGTATGTTAAGCCACAGTGTGGTGAAAATTTCAGAGGTGTTAGGACTTGATGTGGCCATAAACCTTGCCAAGTTTCAAGGCAGTAGGCATAGGGGTTTCTGGGAAACTGCACCTCAAGCTGCTGACAAGCAAAACTCATGTCACATGTGTCTTAAGCCACAGTGGGGTGAAAGCTGCAGCAGTGGTAGCTCTTATGGAGGCCACAAAACCTGCCAAGTTTCAAGGAGATATGTGCAGGGGTTTCTGGGAAACTGCAGCTCAAACTGCTGACAAGCAAAACTCATGACATAGGTGACACTGTGAGTTAAGGCATGGGGGTGAAAACTGCAGGGGTGGTAGCTCCTGCTGCGGCCACAAAGCCTGCCAGCTGTCAAGGAGATAGGTGCAGGGGGAGTCTAGGTTCTGGGGCCCTGCATCTTTGGCCACAGGCACACAAAACTCATGACATGGATGGTTGTGGAACTGTGTGTGTGTTCAGGTGCGCTTTTCTTGGTGGAGGGGCCTCTGCACAACATGGCTGTGTGCCCCATTGAGGCCTCCTCCTCCCCTACAGCTTTGATTTGGTCCATCACTGTAAGTGATGGCAGGTCAAAACACCTTAGCTGGCTCAACACCAATAGCACCAGCAGAATCAAAGGTAGCCAGACGGAACTGTCACAGAGCCTTTCTTTTTATAAAGGAATTGACAGCAAGAAGTAAAGATGTTGTGTTGGTTGTATGCTACTCATGGTGTGTGATGGCTTATCTTGTGTTTTTATGTTTATATGTTTATTATGAAAAAAAACTAAAATAGAAAAAATGTATCTTAGGAAGCTTTTGGGTTGAAAAACCCTTTGTCAGGCTGAGGAAGTACCTGCAGTTGGTGTGTCTCCTGGTCCTGGATGGAAGGAATATGAAAGAAACCAGAGGCTGGCCTGGCATGCAATCCAGGCAAGAAAGCCTTAGGCCTGTGTGACTAGGCAACTATTTGATTTGGATTTGGATTCGGCCATTTTTTATTCATCTGATTTAATTTGGAGACCCAAATCATTTTCTGAATTGATTCAGCTGAATTGATTCATCAAAGATTTGGAAAAGATTGTGCAATTCAGAGATTCAGCCATAGGGTATAATGGGGAATAAATGAAATATCTATACCTTTGGGGTTTTTTGCTGATTTAGATGAAACTTGCAGGGATGGTAGCCACTGCTGAGGGGATGACGTCTGCCAAGTTTTAAGGTGATAGGTACAGGGATTATTACTGGGAAACTGCACCTTAAAATCCTGAAAGCAAAACTCATGTTGTGTGTGTGTGTTAAGCCACAGTGGGGTGAAAACTGCAGGGGTGGTAGCACTTGCTAAGGCCACAAAGCCTGCCAGGTTTCAAGGAGATACGTGCAGGGGTTTCTAGAAGTTCATATTTGCTGACTGATGTCTTAACAGTTTGTAATAAGTTTGTGGCTTCTCATCTTCCAACAGGAAGCCAGGCATCCTGTCCAGTACTCCATTAAATTCTGGCTTCCTGGTGGAAGATGAGAAGCCACAAACTTATTACAAACTGTTAAGACATCCATCTGCAAATTTGAACTTCTAGAATATAAACCATTGCTCATTTACTACTACAAATAGTCTCACATAGAACAGTCCGACTTCACCAAAAGAATCTTATTTTCATTAGTGAGACTTTTTACACAGATAACTATATCAAACGTAAGTTTGTGTTTATATTCACAGTTTTGTAGTGGACACAGATTTTTGTCCTTGTTTTTATGCATTATTTTGAGATTTGTGATCAATGTTATGTTTAAGTAAGCATACTGGATCAATAACTAAGAATGGACCCATGCCAGGCTAGAGATAAAATATTTTGCACATTATAAGTAAATGTTGAGCATGTATTTTGTAAAAATAATGATTTTAAAGTTTTTTTTCCCCCTCTTTATCTGAATATGTGGCTTGGGAAGGGGCACAAGTTTTATGCTGTCCAGTTTGAGGGAAGGCATCAAAATAAGACTTTAAACCTCCTTGGTATCTTCTTGTATTCTTGAGTTTAGTCCATGTAAATAGATATACAATTGTCTTCTAATGTCTGTACATATTTGTTGGTCAAGACATAGTTATGAGATAATTTTTTATACAAGTAATTCTGTATTCATGACAGATTATTTTGGATGGGGATAATTCTTAGGGGTGCGCAGAGCTTCGGTCACCAATTCAATTCAGAGAAGATTCGGCCCAATTTGGAGGCCAAATCACCAAATCCAAATCAAATTGGGAGACAAAAAGCCCTCTGAATAAATTCAGAACCTCTGAATTGATTCAGAAAAAAATCATAAAAAGATTTGGAGATTCAGCTATTTGGAAGGCAGTCTTGCAGAAGAACAGAAACTAAAAAGAGGGAGAGAGATCGGGGGGAAACACTGACATCTGTAGCTGGCCAGTTATGGTGATCTTTCCCTGAGTCCCTTTCCAATCACAGTGCTCTGGGGAAGGGATGCAGAAATAGCACATAAGCCTCTGTCTGAAGACTTTCTGTCCCTTTTGTGAGCTGTTACTGCCTGGGCAAAAAAGGGGCAGGTGGTTGACCTAAAAACAGGAGGGCAGGTGGAGATCTAACCAGCACTGAGAAGGCCCCTTGTTACAGGTTACCATCCCTGCTGGTTTTATCCCTCTGTGCCTTAACACACATACAAAGTCACATGTCATGAGTTTTGCTTTCAGAAGCTTGAGGTGCAATTTTACAGAAACCCCTGCACCTAGCTCCTTGAAACCTGGTAGGCTTTATGGACTCAGAAGGGGCTACCATGCTTGATGTTTTCACCTTACTGCATGTAAACACGTACACAAAGTCATGCATGTCATGAATTTTGCTTTGAACAATTTAAGGTGCAGTTTCCCAGAAACCCGTGCACCTATCTCCTCAAAACTTGGCAGGCTTTGTGCCTTCAAAAGGGGCTACTATCCTTGCTGTTTTAATCCAAATCTGCCCAAAAGGACAAAGTTGTAGGTATTTCAATGATTCCCCATTGTAGTCCATGGCCAAATCACCGAATCTCTCCGAATTATCTTCCAAAGCTTATTTGGCCAAATTGATTCGGGACAGTGATCTGAATCTCTTATTTGAATCACTGTCCTCCACACAGGGTGAATCCAAATTTGAATTGAATACTTCCCTATTCACACAAGCCTACTAATTCCAATAGTGCCTCACCATATACTTCATCTAAGGCAAAAACTAGTAACTGACTTCTATATTCTCAGAGTGAACTGTTGGGAATATTCTCACTAGGGCTTCCACAAAAGTTATTTTTCTTTGCTAGTGATGAGACATGGATGGTAATGGTAAACAGAGAGTAAGAGTTGGTTTAGAAGACTCCGTCTCTTGCTTTCCCATGTAAATAAAATGATTTGTTCATATAACCACAACAGTGAAAGAAGACATCACTCCCTAGCAAACAAATATATGTATACGGCAACAGTTTACCAACTTTCTTTATACTACCATCATGAGATTTATGGCTGGCTTGAATTGTGGTTGGCTTGAAGAATCATTTACTTCATTTTACAATTAACTGTTGCTCATCATTTTTTTTTTTCTTTTTGTTTCAGTAAGTCAAGGTGGGGATGCAGTTGCATCTGACATGTGTCCTGATCCTGGAATTCCTGAGAATGGAAAAAGAGCAGGCTCTGATTTCAGGTAGGAACTGTGTGTACGCATGCATGCATGCATGCATGCATGCGTGTGTGTGTGCGTGTGTGTGTGTGTACGTGTGTGTGGGTGCGCACGCGCGTGCATCTATAGATAGATAGATCCACTTCAATTAGTCAATCAATCTATCTTTCTAGATCTAGACCTAATAGAAAGGGCCAGCAAGTGTGGTGGTGACCTACAGATAATAGATTTTGAATAAAAATTATAAGCAACTCTATTTTGAATGCTGTAAAACAGTTTTAATTCTTGTAGATTCAGAAGTGAAGTTTTAGGCCATAGGGAATATACTGCTTGACAATGGAGATTTTAACACAGGTTATTCAAAATATACCAAATAATTTTCACTGAGCACTGTGTGTTATAATACATAAAATGAGGTGGAGAATGTCCTTCAGGTTCTAATTTCTATTAAATTACGAGGACACAATCTTTCAGTCCACTGCTGAGAAATTCTTTAATTTAATTTAATTAAAAGTAGTGAAGTTGATAGACCAAAGTAAGCAAAGAACCCTTAAACACAGGGAAAAAAAATACACTCTGTACTTAAAGTAAAAAAAAAATAAAAATCACACTTTTTGTATCAAATCTGTTCATTATTTTTATTTTGTAAACTTTGAAAAGCTGACTTTATTTGAATTTTCTGTTTACCTCCCCCACTTTTATTTTTACAGCCTCTAAAAAGGCCTAAAGCAACTTTGAGTGACACCATTTTCTGTGTACATCTCAGTAATGTGTAGACCAAGGGAAGAGTTTTTTATAATGTTCTTTTTAAACAATTGGGGAACATTCTGTCTTTAATTAGATATGGAGGAAAGATAGAAGTGGTTAAAGATGCACTGAAGCACACATGAATGGGGAAAGAGGAAGTTGAGGGAAGGGATAACTGTAGTGGGGCCTGCATGATAAGTTTGTTAAAAGAGTCAAACATTATGGCTGAGTGTTGACAAGTTTTACTTTAAGGGTTTGTAAATAAGTAGTATAGAAAAGGATTTAATTATATATAATAGTTATCATTTTATAGTAAAAACGGTGCTGATTTTAAATATAGTCAATTTCCATCAAGGAATAGGTAATGCTGTTTCGTGGAAACATTAAATGATGTGACTTGCTTTATATTTGATGGGCAAGCTATACAGAAAGGAGAAAAAAAGAGTTCTGGGTACTTGCTCTGCCAATATTTTCCAGTGAGGGAAGAGGGAGAGCTGCTGGCAGAGGCTGTTTTTCTTTACCCTCCCCCCCCAATCCCTTCCCCTGGGAATAAGAAGGGAGCTTAAGCAGCTTGTCAGCTGAGTTAGCTGTTGATGAAGGAACTGGTCTCCTGGCCCTTGCCCAGAGCAGGGGAGACCCATGTGAAGGGGGTGGGAATATGAATGATGTGTGCCCCCAGCTGCTGGAGGAGCACAGCGGTGGTGGGAGCATGGTGGTGGTAAGTGGGGGAGCTCCTGCAGATGCCACTAGCAGTGTCAGCATCAGCGGCATCCAGTGGGGATCACAGACCGCTTGCAGATGCCACCGGTGGCATTGGAGGTGCAGTGGTAAATGGCGACTGCACGCCTTTTTGTAGGGGGTGCTCCTCCATGCTCAGGGGGTGCACGTGCATCCGTGTGCACCCCCTATACATAGTCCCTGGGTGGGGGGAAGGAATGATGATTCTTGAATCTTTCTGGAACACGTTTATGAGGAGCTTTTGTGTATGTGATTTTCCTCTTCCACCATCTTGTCCCATTAGCAGCTTTCCAGACAAATTTCCTTCCCCCCTCTCAGATTTCTGTACAACTAAAGCATTCTATACTACATGTTTGTTTCCTCTCTGGGTCTCATGGGGAAGAGGTGCTAAATGGTTCCTAAGGCTGTGTGTAGACAAAATGAGAGGTGTGTGTGCATGACACTTTAAAGTGGGCTAACTTTTTTTGCACTGTTTTAATAGTGTTGGTGTTTGCAAAAGGCAGCAGTGTATTGCACATTAATTCCAGCTGCTGTAGGAAATTTGATGGTGTAATGCACCTTAAATGAATTGGGGCACAGCAAACTAAAACTCCTTTAAGGAGTTTTAGTTTGCTGCCCCTACAGCCATGGAGTGAAGCACTGGGCCCCGTGCAGCTCCACAGCTCTACAGCAAGCCCTGCAGGCAGCCTGGTAGCAGTACAGGAAACCAGGCTTTGCCCAAGAAAAACAGTGAGCCTGATTGTCTGATTCCCTCCCCCCACCCCTGATCCTGCCTGTCTGCATTAGCTCTGAGCTGTGCAGGGAACTGGTGCTTCCCCCCATGGCTGTGGTGCCCCCTGGGACTACCCGAGCCAGGTGCCTGTGGATGGGTGCTGCCTGGGGGGGTGCTGTTGCCACGGAGGGAAGCACCAGCCCCACCCTCCCCAGCCCAGGGACCACCATGTCTGCTGGCAGCTTGCCCTCCTCTCCCCTGCCGGAGAGGCAGGTAAGTCAGTAGGGTGTGTGAACGGCGCATGGGTTTTATCAGCCCTAAATTGAAGTGGTGTTTTTAAAACTCACCACTTCAATTTAGGGCCCCTGTTTCATCTACACTTGCCCTAAAAGAAGCAGCCTTAAAAGGTGCTTGGGGAAAGGGAAGAGGGGCAGTGATTCATGACATCTGTTGAGGCACTCTGAGGCAGCAGAGTTCAGCATGAGAGTCCTCACAGAGAGTTACTTTGCAAGAAAGAGAAATTCTTCCAAGAATGCTGGAGAGCTTGGCCAAAAACTATCTCCCTGTGTGTATCACATGATACAAGTGAATGGCAAATTAGTACATTAATCAAGAAATAAATTTAACAACTCCCAGGGGACTTATAATTTCCTATTTTTTAATGAAAGTGTCTGTTAACTGTTCCTTTGGATGCTGAACCTTTATTTGGAAGTTAGTTAGGGACACAGCCTGAGAGAAACATGTATTTCCTTGCAAACCATTAGGAAGGGACAAGGTCTGAACTAATACTTCTTTTACCTGTGGAGGGAATGAATAACAGAGAAAAGCCAGGGAATAAAAGATTGTGTTGACAGTCTTGACATTATTTCAAATAAGTTGAAATCAGCATTTTCCAAAGAATAAATAATATTCCCTCTAATTGGACTATTCATAAAACTTATATTACCACTGTAACCAGTACAAAGTTCTTAGCCAGCCATGCAATCACTCTGAGTGGTCTACTACTAACATCTGATATAAGTAATAAGCTAGAGTCTGCTACATGACAAATACAGTGATAGATGCTTCTTGAAATATATCCATTGTTTAAAAAAAAAGTATCAAAGAATGGTGGAAAAACAAAGATTTTGTTATTAATCAGCGTTGAAATATCGACTTACTCATACATCTAAGCCTTAAGACCTCCCAAATAATCTTCTGTCAGTCAAATTGAATGTCAGTCATATCACATTACCCTTTATTTACACCAAATATGTTGACAGCATGCTCTGGAAGTGACTGTTGGGTTCCTCACTTTTTTCATCATTTAAAATATAATGACACCTATACATATGACCAGTGCCTGCTCCTATGCATGCTACTTAATCAAGTCTGCTGGAGCATGCTTGTGCTAATTTGCACATTCCAGCAGACTCAGTATAACATATATTCAGCATATCTGTGTTCAAAATGGTGTTGGGGGCACTTCAACTAAAGCTTGTTGAATGAGTTTAGTTAAAGCGCCCCGACACCATTCTGAAGCATGGGATGCTGTGACAGGAGTATCAATATCGGAGCCTTTCTGGGAGTGGCTTCGCCCTCCTGTAATGGGCCAACCGCCTGCCTACTCACCTGCCACACCTTGATCTTACTTGATTAGTAGATTGTTGTAATCAGTGGGAGGGTGCCCATTTTTCGCGCCCTGGTGACAGGGAGCGCTACCTGCGGCTCCTTTTCCTCCCCTACACCGCAACCCAAGCCTCGCAGATGGTGTTGACGTGGTTTGACCTGGGCCCTGTTATGTCTTGGCCCTCCTCTTTACTCTTGGGGCTCCCCGCTGCCCCCCTCTCACTCTGGGGCTGGAGCCAATACACCCCACAAATGCTGCGCCCTCTCCAGCACCAGGAACCCCCCACGCTACTGGGGAGTCCCTATGAGGTCTCCTCCAACCCCTAATAGCCTCACCTGGTCCTCTGGTCAAAAAAGTGAACACAAAAACACAAAGCCCCTGGGCTACAACATAAAACTAGACTGTCCGGTCAAAACAGATTCACTCCCTACTAGACAGTGAGGGAGGGAGGGCTCCCCAACCCCAGCAGTAACCAGGGGATGTTCACACTGCCAGAGTTCTCCCCTCTGCCTGTCCTAGCTGAGTTCCTACTCCCACGGCCACTGGAAAGGAACTGCTCTCCTGGCCTTCTACCTGGGTTTAAGAAGGGCTAAGCCCTGCCCCTTCCTGTCAGCTGGTTTTACTGGTTGCCTCGGCAACTAGCACCTGTGCAGCCCTGGTGACTGGCTCCTGGTGGAGCCTCCCCCTTCCTGCCACTAGGGGTCTCTCCTGAGCTGTATCCACTTTCAGGCGCAGGGCACCTGAGTGCACTGCGACAGATGCTGAATACACAAGATGCTGCAGGCACTTTAATTGGAGGGGCTCCCGAGAGTATTTGTAAAGATGCCCTAAAAACAACTTTCACCACCCTAGAGCATTTGTAAAGATGCTCCAAATTATCTTTTGTTGTTGTTGTTCTAAATGATCTTTGTCTTAAATTATCTTTTTTTTTTTCATTTCACATAATTTACTCTTTTGGTTAAGCCATAAATATTCATATATCCAAATGCCATAAAAATGTATTACAGTTAAAATGCACCTATTACCTTAAAATGTACCATTATGTTTTACATAAAATATGTGAAGTGAATTGGTTCTCGTTTTTAAGAAATGTAACTAGCTAAATAAGTTAAATTGATTAATTCAATGCAAGCACTTCTACCAAAAGCATTTTCACATTGAATTTATTCCATTTCAAGCTATAGTATTTTAGATTTCATTTTAATAACAGAGGTAAGG